TCATGTCATGACAAATATCATGGTCAGTGAATGATGAACTTGGAGAGGTATAAGTAAGTTGAATTTAAAAGTTGGAGATTTAAGTGATGGTTAGAACTAAAGTGGGTTTCCCTGATGGCTCAGGGGTAAAGAGTATCCCTGTCAGTGCAGGAGATGAGACTTAGATCCCTGGGTCAAGGAGATCCTCTGGAGAAGAAAATGGCAACCCACTCCAGTATTCTTGCCTGGAAAATCACATGGACAGAGGAGTTTGGTGGGTTACAGCCCAAGGGGTTGCAAGAGGCAGTCACAACTTAGTGATTAAACAACAACAAAAACAAGAACTAAAGTATATTTATACACATGGGAAAGGAAAATAGACAAAACTGGATTGAAAATTCAAGAAAGTTAAGGTCAGGATTTTATATATATCTATATATGTATATGTATGTATAGGTACATATGTAAATACATTGTTAATATGAATATTTAAAAGAAAGTGAAAACTGATGTCATATCAAATACATTGATTCTTGATAACATAGAGTTCAGTACTTTCATGTATAACTGATTTCTTAATTGTCTTGTAGGCAACTGCTGTGTCTTACAATCCTGGTTATTGAGTAATATTGATCACTCTATAATAATAATTATTGAGTAATATTGATTTCAAATTCAAAGACATTTAAGTTTTTTCCCTTTTCTTAAGAAAGTACAATATTATATTGTAGTATTACCAGGAATTCCCAGGATTTGTGTTAATAACATTTGCCATTGAGATGTAACATGTAATGGTGTAAAATATGGAATATAGTGAGGAGAAGCCCATAATGGAAATTGAAAATAAATATACTTAAACTCTTCACAAGTGAAAGGCTTTGCCATCTACTCATTTATTATTTATTGGTTCTGCACAAGTTGTTTGAACAGACTATTTTCCATTTATTCATCTTAAAGTTGGGCAATAAAAGCAAACAAACAAAAAAAAAACATTAAATTCCTCATAAAGTTGAACTCCTTTTTGAGAAATTTAATCACTGACTGATAGCTGTAAAAATCCACTGCACTACTAAATATAAGGGACTTGAATAAACAGATTCAAAGGCAGTCAAAAACATACTGCAAATTGGAATTATCTTTTAATTACATATATATGTGCATGTGTGTGTGTATACTGTTTTATAGCAATGGTTATAAGAGAAGAAATACTCAGATTCTTGGAAAAATAATTCCAAGTTGTAATTGTGTACTTAGCTAAACTGTGCATTAGATGGGAATCTTCCTTGGTGGCCCACACAATGAAGAATCTGCCTGCAACACATGAGATGCGAGTTCGATCCTGGGTCAGGAAGATCCCCTGGAGAAGGGAATGGCTGGCTGGTGGTGGTGGTTTAGTTGCTAAGTTGTGTCCAACTCTTTGGGTTCCCATAGACTGAACCCAAAGAGTTGGACATAACTGAGTGATTAACACTTTCACTTTTTCTTTTTTTTTCACACAAAAGAGTCAACAGAAATTCTCAAACATGGAGAGAGATTTACAAAATTATCTCCCTCTCACTCTTTTTCTCTTAGGAACTAAACTGATGTAGCATGCTGACATTTTATCAATTCTTTTCAGATCTCTTAGTACTTGGAAATTGCCTCAAATATAGTGCTAGCATATTTGCATTTGTTTTTAAAAATTCTCATTTTATTTTATTTCATTTTTTTTTTTTATGGCCACACTGCATAGCTTGTGGGGATCTTAGTTCCCCAGCCAGGGACTGAACCCCAGACACAATGATAACACAACATCCTAAACACTGGACCACCATGGAACATCCAGGAATTCTCATTTGAATACAACAGTTACTAAAACTTGCCCAGTGAATTTAATTATTATTTTTATAATTGTATTTATTATTTTTGGCTGTGCTGTGTCTTTGTTTTTGCACAGGTTCTTGTCTGGTTGCAATGCTCGGACTTATTGTCTTGGCTTCCTTGCTGCAGTCACGGCTCCCAGGGTCTACAGCACAGGTTCCGAGGTTGTAGAACACAAAGGCTTAGTCCTCCACGGCACGTGGGATCTTCCCAGACCAGAGATTCAACTCGTGTCTTCTGAGTTGGCAGCATATTCTTTATTACTGAGCCACCAGGGAAGCCCTGTCCAAGGACTTTTAAAATGCCCTCCTCTTAAAGACAAGGAATAACATCCTTTCTAATCTTTTCTTCAAAGCACTTGCTTTTCCTCTTTGACTCAAGATTAGGGTTATATTTTAACACTTCTTTCTATGCACACCTCTACCATTCCATCTTGATGAAGAATTTTAACAGCTATTACTTAAAAGAAGTAGTTGTCTAGCTCTTCTGACATGGAACATGGTGGGTCCATGTACAACAAATCATATCCATAATTCAAAGAAGCTTGTGACTTACAATATGTTTTAAAGATCTCTATGATTCTCATAGTTTTATGTAATAAATATGTAAACCATTTAATGGACTTCATGTAAATGTAACTAGAACTTAAGAGTTAAGAAATTTCAGAAGAACATAAATAACACCAAGAGCAACAAATTCCTTTTGCCAAAGAGGCAAGTATCACAGGAAGTTTAGGGCGCTGACCCCAAGTGACTTTTACAGTTAGTGATAGTATTTGGTACAAAATAAATCATAAAATTTTTTCTAGTGAATCATACCACTGTTTCACTCATGTGTTGATCTAATACTTCTTTGACCACAAAGATTGCATTTTCAAAATTTGTAAGTAATATACATATATTACATAGAATATGTACACATATACTTCTGTAAAGGTAAGCATGCAATGTAATTAAAAAGTTATGTATGATTATTGCCAACCCCTTCCCATGTAAATTTTAAGCATTTTTATATTGCTTAACTCCTGAATGAAGGCCATTTACTGTGATATTATAAATAAAAATGAATCTCTAGATATTTACAAGTATTGAAATATTAGGCCCAGTGCTTTCAGTAGTGTGAGTGATGTACCATAATATTACTAATTTACGAGCACCAAAAGACCTCTGCTCACCTTGTCACTTTTGTGGTTTCCCATTGTACATGAACTTATTTCCATTCATGATTTTTATGTTTTTTTTTAATTTTGTTTGCCTCTTTGTTGTAAATCAAATATGTCTTTGATTTTTTTTCCTGTTAACATCTCTATGGTTCTTATGGGCTAAATACATCCCCATAAAATTCATATTTTGAAGTCCTAACCATCAGTACCTTAGAATATGACTATATTTGGAGAAAAGACCTCTAATGAGTTAATGAAGATTAAAAAAAAAAAAAAGTCGTGTGAGTGGGCTCAATGTGACTGCTGTCCTTAGAGAAGAGGAATGAGCCTAAGCGTAGGGGCGGGGACAAAAACATGCAGAGAAATGAAGAAAAGGCAGCCATGGAAAAGCCAAAGAAAGCGACCCTTGGAAGAAAACAACTCTACAGACCCCTTGATCTTAGACTTCTAGCTTCCAGAAGCTTGAAGCTTCTTGCTTCAAGTCACCCAGTCTGCATTGCTTTGTCATGGCGGCCCTAACAAATGAATTCAATGGTTTAGCCAACCTAAAAGATAGAGGTACCTGAAAAAAGGCTTATTCATTTGGTGCAAGTAAGAACCACCAATTTCACGCGCTTGCTTAGTATTTCAGTCACGTGCCTTGAAATGACCTACTTCCCCTAAGTCTTTGTGGCATCATTGCTTCTGATATATAAATACATGAAGAGGCAGTCAGATTCTCTAACAAGGTGCAACAAGCAGTCATTGTTGACAAGAATCAGCTGGAAGTGATTTGCATAGTAACCTTCTTCAAAGGACCTTGCATCATGGCATAGCCAGTCATGTTGCTGGGGCAGACCCAGAAGTTGACATATTTTTTTCCTTCAGAATAGTTATGGAATCACCAGCTTTTTAAAAAATTGCATGAACACTTCCCAAAGCAAAATATACTGCAAATTATCACACTCCATCAAGACTGAATGCAGTTCCCTGGGATGAGACAAAGGTAAAACCATCAAAGTGGGGAAGAACTGTTGATCTATATAAGGAAGACAAGCAAGAGTCTGCAGTTATGAGACACCAAAAGAGCAATGGGAAATGCAGATTCAAGTGGCCAAATTAGCACAACATAACTATCAGATATTTATTTATGAAGTAAGCATTGAATAATAAATAGGACTGAATATAATTTGCATACATGATTTCTATTTCTACCCATTTTCCCCATATGTGAATGTTTCCTTTCACACTTTGCAATACAAATATAGTTATAAATATTTAAGAAATGCAGCTGGATATAGAAGATGTCTTCAGAAATAGTCCATAAGTAACTTTTATTTTTCCTACATATTGTTTTAATATTTCAGTAGTCACTTATATAGTTATAATATTAAGAAAATATATTCTTACTATTTATAGGTAGTTACCTGTTTTGTTAAGTGCCTTTCTAGATAATGTAAAGTTCACTTAAAAGTGATGTATCAGTATATGAGTGCAGCTTACCTGTCTGCTTATAAAATCTAGTAGTTCTAAGAAACTTCATCAAACTAAAAAGTAAGTTTTTTTTACAAAGGAGAGTCATGATATTGTTTATATTAGAATTGTAGATAATAGGGTAAAGAAGTAACTCTGAGCTCCAATAGAATGATGCTCCAAGTTGAAATTCACGTTAATAAAATAAATAAATCCATTGCCAGATCTTGCATTAGTGTATATTTAGGTGTTATATTTGGTTTGAATTTTCCAAAGTTCCTGATGTTTCATTTGTTTGGTAATTATTAGTAAATATTTTTAGAAATGCTATAAATCCATTATGCATTATTTGATAAATGTTTTATCTTCTTGGCTCATCAAAGAATCACTAGATTGTAAGAAACTATATATAAATTTATCTTCCCTTGTTTAAATCAATGACATTTTCCACAAAAATGTTTCATAATAACACAACTTAAATTTTTGGTATGACTGAAGACTGTAAGGATCTGATGATTTGTTAAAACCAACCTTTCACACACTGGCACAATATTAAAACAAAACCAATATTTATTTTCATCTGAATTTCAGCCTGAGGCTTCTTTTATAAAGAGTTTTTTTTTTAATCTTCTTTTTAAAAATTTTATTTCTTTGGAAAACAATTGACATTTTCATGAACACTTTCAATAGGAACTAATATTAAGATCAAACATTGCTTTTAAAATTTGGGACTTACATATTAACTTTGTTATTATCGCATTTATTTCAATTTTCAGAAAGGGTAGGAAAAAACAAATATATATTGGCATACATTTTAAAAAAGAAAAAAGAGCAGTTTAATTATAAGAAGATGGAGTTCAGAAAGTTTTCTTCTTTTTTCCTTAAAAGGAATGAGAAGTCGGCATGTTGCTATTGCTCCTTGACATAAAGACAGGGTCTTTGTTTTATGTCCTCTGTGTCTGAATCCTGCAATGCCATCACAGCAGAGAGTATTCTACACCGCTTTAAATGATAAGAGTTTCAATAGGCACTTTAGTGGAATTAAGAAAAATCTAACACTCTTCCACCGTGATGCCACATAGCTATCTTCGTTCTAGGTTGTCACGTCAGTAAATTGTATTGAATAGGCCTGAGCTCGTCTCAGTGTGTTTCCAAAATAACAAAACAAAACCAAGCAAGTACACACTAGAGGATTTATCTTGTGTTGGCAGAATAAACCAAAGCTGACAATATGATAAATATAGCAACTTGCTAGAAACCAGATAATCAAAGGAATCTTGTCCTAGAAAGCCGTGTGTGTGTGTGTGTGTGTGTGTGTATGCGTGTGTGTGCACGTGTGTGATTTCTATTTATGTTCCTTTCCCTTAAATTCCTTCTGTCGGCTGTGTTTTAATCTTTGCCTCTCCCTTAAGTGACTTTATCAGGGTTATAACTCTCTTCTTCTCCAAACATGTCTGCCAAGACTTTAAAGCGGGGTCCCCAGTCTGTTAGGTAGTTGTAGTCCTGGTCTGCTTCCGTGGTCAGAGATTCTATGGAGCTGAGAGAGTCGGCTACTGATCCGTCGCCTTCATAGGCATATGTTGCCAGTGAATCATATGGTGGGGCTGTGGGGTCCACATCATGTTCTTGTAGCCTTTGATTAATGAAATCCCTTATGTCTGTGTTATCTTCCACTGGTGGTCTCTGACGAGGTAAACAGAGAGAGTCTGGTTTTATATCCCTGCGAATTTTGTTATCTTCAATCACTTTTGGGTTTCTCAGAGCACCAATGTCGAAAGCCTGGGTGTCCTCCTCCCCGCCTCCTTCATCATCGTAATGGATAACGTTGTCTCTTATGTCTTCTTTAGAGGTCATCAAGGTGTCTTTCTTCTTCTGCCGTCGCAGAGCTACATACAGCACAACTATGGCTAGAACAAGACAAAAATGGCAAAGTGAGACTATGTCTGCTCATCTCTCTGTAAGAAATTAAATTGATCAGGGCTGGCTGAGTTTTTTAATGACATCCTATTATTTTCAAAGTACACATATTATAATCTGTATGGATCCTATGTATGCTGATTTTCATTGTTTAAATTCAGTTTCATTTTTAAATTGTAGCTAAAGTGAAAACATTGCAAAACTCACAAATTCTAATAACAGTAGTCTTATATTTGACATATGTTTAAATATCTCAGTGTCAGGTAATTTGTTACAAAGTTTTAAAAAAGCAGACAGAGAAAGGCAAATATATAATTTACATGTTGAATTTTAAAAAATGGTGTAAATGGACCTATTTACAAAACAGAAATACAGTCACAGATGTAGAAAATAAACATGGTTACCAAGGGAGAAATGCGGGAGAGAGAAAGTGGGAGATTGGAACTGACATGTACACACTACTATATATAACATGGATCATGAATAAGAAACTATGATGTGGCACAAGGGACTGTAGGCAATATCTTGTAATGACCTATATGGGCAAAGAATCTAAAAACAAGTGGATATATATATGTGGATAACCACTTCACTCTTCTGTATACTGAAACTAGCACAGCACTATAAATCAAATATACTCTAATAAAAAATTAATATAAAAAAGAAAAAATAAAAGAATGGCTTTGTCCAGTCATACATAGAACTGTATAGCATTGAAGTAATAAAACTTGGGCCTTCCCTGGTAGCTCATCTGGTAAAGAATCCACCTGCAACTCAGGAGACCCCAGTTCAAATCCTGGACCAGGAAGATGTCCTGGAGAAGGGATAGGCTATCCACTCCTGTTTTTTGGGCACCCCTGATGGCTCAGAAAGGAAAGAATCTGCCTGCAATGTGGGAGACTTGGGTTCAATCCCTGGGTTGGGAAGATACCTTGAAGGAAGGTATGGCAACCCACTCCAGTATCCTTGCCTTGACAATCCCCATGGACAGAGGAGCCTGGCGAGCTACAGTCCATGGGGTCACAAAGAGTCAGATGTGATGAGTGACTAAGCACACAAAACAAAACTTGAGGGGCTTCCCAGGCGGCTCTAGTGGAAGAGAACCTGCCTGACATTGCAGGAGACAAGAGACCCAATTTCAATCTATGGGTCAGGAAGATCCCCTGGAGGAGGGCATGGCAACCCTCTCCAGTATTTTTGGCTAGAGAATCCCATGGACAGAGGAGCCTGGAGGGCTACAGTCTATAGCGTGGCAAAGAGTTGGACGTGACTGAAGTGATTTAGGACACAGTAAAACTTGAATATTTTTGCCCATAACTGACACTTAGATATTATTCATATCTAGATTTACCTTGTATTAACATTGCTTTATTTCTGACAAAATAAACACAAATCACAGAAAAGTCACTTTTAAAAGCATTAAACAAGAAAGAGAAAAAGAAAAAGAATATACAATATAAGAGTCAGCTTTCCAAATTGTGTCAAGTAAGACCACAAATTACTTAAATTCTGTGTCTTACCATATTGAGATATTCTCCAAACTAAATGCTTAGTAATCAGCTGGCCTTCTTAAAACAAGATCATACTTTGAAATACTTAATTTATAGACTCTTATCATCGAATATCTCTTTTTTCCCCATCGACTTATGGTCATCGTTATTTTGATATTTATTTTTGAGTGAATAAACACAGATTCACACCATTAAGTCAGTGCTCAATTTTGCCTGGAATAATTCTACCCTCTCCTATATAGCAGTGGCAATAGATTGAAAGCCAAATGTGTTTAATTTAACACAACAGTGTTTGGAAGAAAGATCTTGTCACAGGATTAGAAAGTAGGTGGCTATGTGATGATTAAAGCAAGTTTATTCCCTTTTCTTCCAAAATTAAGGAGGAAGATAGAGGAGATAAAGGTAGGGCTTCTGTACAATGTGTTTTGAAGAGATGTTCAGCACTTTTCACTTCTGGACTTTATGCAGATCTCAGAACTGAAAACACTATGGTTTGTTCATCCAAAGTGTGTGTGAGAGAGCTTAACCCTCATAGAGAGACCTGCATATGTATTAAATGGCTTTTTTTTCATTTATTTTTATTAGTTGTAGGCTAATTACTTTACAATATTGTAGTGGGTTTTGTCATACATTGACATGAATCAGCCATGGATTTACATGTATTCCGCATCCCGATCCCCCTTCCCAACTCCCTCTCTACCCGATCCCTCTGGGTCTTCCCAGTGCAACTCCTGCAGCTCAATTCCAGAAAAATAAATGACCCAGTCAAAAAATGGGCCAAAGAACTAAACAGACATTTCTCCAAAGAAGACATACAGATGGCTAACAAACACATGAAAAGATGCTCAACATCACTCATTATCAGAGAAATGCAAATAAAATGGCTTTAGAGTTGCCATGACTGACACTAGTTAGATGTGCTTAAGAGTCAAATAGAAGTTCCTGGGCACCACAAGATTCTCATGCTTTCACTCACCCTAGGAAATATATAAAATGGCTAAGAATAAGATGATCTAAAGGGCTCTGATATTGGCTACAGAGATCAAATAGATGCATTTGTAAGCAGACCCCGTGGCAAGACTAAGAGTGTCAACATTCAAAGCCATGTATGAGCAATTCACACCTAGGTACAAGGTAGACAGCTGGTAAATACTAAGTTGCCTCAGTCATGCACAACTCTTCCATGGACTTTAGCCCACCAGGCTCCTCTGTTTATGGGATTTTTCAGGCAAGAATACTGGAGTGGGTTGCCATGCCCTCCTCCAGGAGACCTTCCTGATTCAGGAATCAAAGCCAGGCCTCCTCATTGCAGGTGGATTCCTTACCGTCCAAGCCACACATCCTAGTAAGTACTTTAAAATTTTATTTTCTAGCCCAGAGATAAAGGTATGCGTGTACATTTGTCAGAATATTTTGGCTAAATAATGCACATGCATAGACATAAGCTGATTCCACAGAGCCCAACTATGCCTCTGTTGCAAGTTTCATTTAAAGGAATGACTGGAAAAATAAAAATAAAAAACCTCTCTTTGTTTTTGTGAATCCAGTAGAGGATGAATAAATGAAAGAGTCAGCTGAGCAAAGCTGATGGAAGAGGGAAGCCCCTGAAGTAGGTTTTCATTCTCACAGAGATATTACAGAATACATTTTCTTTAATCCTTTCCCTTCGCTGTGCTTCTCGATATTTTAGTGTATTCTATTCTGTCCTAGTGGGAATGGTGAGAATTTTGATGTAAGGAGATCTGAGAAAAGTGGAATAAGAATTGCTTCTGGCCAGCACTTTAGACAGAAAAAAACAAATTCAGAGGGGCCTTTACTTCTTTCCTGTGCTTTCTCTTTTCTTTCATTCTTTATTGAACCAATATTGGACAACTACTCTGTGCTTAGTATCATTTTAAAGGTTCTACAATCCCATAATTACCAGGATGTAAAAAAAAAAGAATTTAAAACTGCTGCTACAAATGGGATAGAAAAGTTCATTGCAGCAAGTGCCACAAACTGTTCATACTTGAAAATTCCCTAGGGCTTGAACATACTTTTGGTGATATTTATTTCTGTTGGTATATTTCCATGTGGTAGGAAGTAGAAAATTAGCTTTGATAAAAATATAATTCAGTTTAGATAGTCTTCCTTCTATCTATATGCAGCAGCTCAATGAAGAAACACTGATTTACATGGCAAAATGAGAAGAAAGATACACAGACAAGGGAGAGAAAGAGAATACGTGATTAATATTGAAACCAACCTAAGAGGATAACAATGCACAGAAGGATTGCAATCAAAGCCCCAGTGCTAAGTCCTACAGGTAGAAAAATTGCTTCCACGTTACAAGACAGGATGGTACCATCAGAGTCACATCGGCAAACTCGAATAGTCACTGTGTTTGTGCTACTCTGGACAGGATAACTGCTGTCTTCTATTACAACCGGGAGGAAATACAACTCTTGCTGCCTGCGGCTGTATCCATTTCTCCGGGTTTCAATTCCAGCCGTGTTGTCTACAAAACATGACACGTATGGTAAGATGGTTACTATGAGTATCACTTCAAATCTTCAAGTTGGTATCTGTTAAACAGTGGGAAGCTCTTCTTGAATCAGTAAAATACACCACATTTCAATTATTTCTTTTATCATTATGAAAGCTGCCAAAATGTAATCAGATGTAATCAAAGAAAATCCTTCAGAAAAGAAGAAACATTAATCTTGTCTGCAGTAAGAATTAAATTTTTTATTGAGAAAGAATAGAAAATTGGTTACAAGACAAGAAATATGTTGTATCAAAACACTTATCTTTTTCTGACATCAAAATCTCACAGAGAAAACAAACCTCAGTGGATGCTTTCTTACATGATTAGAAGAACAAAGATTATAAAGGATGAATCAACATAACATTTTACCTAAGAATGTAGTCTTTAAAATGCGACACATATCAATATACTATTTCAGATAAAATTTGACTTTTTACTTTTCCCAAGTTTATATCTATGCTACATACACGTATATATGTGTGAATATATGTATACATTTTCACTTTTCTAAAACAGCATAAGAAACATGGAAAAGAAAAGAAAATGTGTTAAATCAAGATTCATTAAAATTTGTAAGGAGTTGGAATCACAATAGCCATCAATTCTATCAATTGCCAGATAAAGAAATGTGATATATATGTATATATAGATAGATAGATATACATATATTCACAATGGAATATTATTCAGTCATAAAAAGAAAGGGAATCCTGCATTTGTGACAACATGGATGAATCTAGAGGGTATTATGCTAATGAAATAGACCAGACAGAGAAAGACAAATACTGCGTGATAAAACTTACATGGGGAATCTAAGAAAAAAAAGAAAAGTAGAACCCATAGAAATAGAAAATAGAAAAATAGTTGCCAGGGACTGGAAGTGGGGAGAAATGGGATAAAGTTGGTAAGAGGCTTAAAAACTCTCAGTTATAAGATGAATAGAGTCTGAAGATCTATATTATAGTATGGTGACTGTAGTTGATAACACTGTACTGTATAATTGAAATTTGCTAAAAGAGTAGAACTTAAAAGTCCTCATAAAATAAAGGTGAAAAAAGTGTCTATCCATTTAAACCAAAAACAACTTTCAATTACACTTAAAATACAACAAGATAAAATGAGGATATGGTAAATGGCGTGAGTGGCAAATACATGTTTAGATCATGAAAATATACTATATCATGAGGCAAAGATGATCTGATTCATGTTATTATGAGTAACCAAATATAGACTCTCCAGCAAATATAAAATGGTGGAAAACAGTCAATACTTTGGTTCCTGAATGATATGACTGTCTATTTAGTTGCCCAAGCCAATGGTCTGCAAGTCTTACTAGTTTTCTTCTTCATCATTTTTACACGGAATCTAGGAGATCTAGCATCAAGCTTATGTATTCTATCTCCCAAGTCACTAACCTCCATCCTCACAGCCGTGTCTCTAATTCAAGACACTTTCATCCATTTTCTGCAATAGTATCAAATATAGTTTTGTCTTCCTCTATTGTTTTCTACACTGGATCCATTCTGATCTGCTAAAGTGCTCCTGTGTAAACCTTTCAAAGATTTCCCAGGTCATTGGATTTAAGTTATAAACTCTTTAAATGGCTTATAGACAGCTTAACTAAAGTCAGAACAGCTGATCTGTTGCCAGCCTTAATGTATTTAATCCAGTGTCCTTTGTATTTTTGTAGTGATTTTAATAACAGCAGATGTTACTAAATATTAGTAACAGTGATGGTAGTAGTAGTGGTGGTAGATATGTAAGTTAGTTATGATGACAGAGCTGGGAGCTAAAGTTATCTTAAAGGTAATAAATTCTAGGCACTATGTTAAAGGATTTGCATTACATCATCTTATTTAATAAAACAAACATGAGGTTAATTTTTGTTAAATATAAAGTTGAAATTATTTAGTATACTTTAATGTATTGAGAATCTGCCATTTAGGTTGTATTGCAGTAGGAGTGAAAACCTGTATTATTTTCACTAAAAAGCCTGTGCCATACCATGTGTCATACAAATAACAGAATTACTTGTATGCACGAGCAGTGCATGTAAAGGAAATGATATATTTAAAACATGAAAAGTAATTTCCCAAACAGTATATTGGTTATCTGACTCATTAAGGGAATGCCCCCATTATAAATGGAAGTAACTTGCCTCATTAGACATAGTCTACATAGGTTAAACAGTTTACTGTGAGTCATAAATTTTGTATTTCTTGTATATAGATTTCTATATTTTAAGAAGTTGAGTGATTTTAGGAAGAGCACTGATTTCTACCTTTGTGTCCTTTTACAAAGTTGCCTAATAAAAGCTAAATTTTCACGAGGTTAAACTTACTTCTGAAGTCACGAACTGTAAAATTTGGTTTGATGGCAGCTTCAGGTGATAATTTAAAGGAGAACTGCTGTCCAGCCGGTGAAAGATCTCGGTCTGCAGCACTGACTATCTGGATTATCTGAAACAAAGTTGAGATCAGACTTGAAATCAAGTCATTGATTTCAAAGGGAACTCTACATACCAGGCTAATACATATATTTAATGAAACATGCAAGGAAACCAAAATGACATTTTCAGAATTTATATCATTGGGCCAATCATTTACAAATACTTTTATAGACAGTAAAATATTTAGAGTTAATAGTGGCAGGTACAATTACAGGGTATGGACTAATTCTAAATCAATGTCCACATAACTAAAGAGAATAACAATGTTGAAAATTCTCATTAATAAGCAAAATAAAATTTAAATGTACTTGCTTGCATTTTAAACTAGACAAAATAAAGCTTTCTAGCCTAAATATGAAAATACTTACTGGAGACAAAATCTCTGATTATTTAAAAGTCCTTTCAAGGAAAAAAAAATTAGTATCATTATGTTTGTGAGAACGAGTTTTATCTTCATAAATAAGTAAAATAGTGAGAAGGAAGCAGAGAATGTAGATCTGTTTTTGTTGTTATGTTACCGCCCCCCCCCCCCCACCAGTGGGTGACAATATAAATTATGTTTTCTTGGAGTTTTTTTTTTTTTTTTTAAGAAGTAATCATGACCAACTTTGTTTCAAAAATTTTCCTAAATTGCTCCCAAAAGTGGTATATCTAAACAGTTAAAATTCTAATATTTCAATGAGACTCCCTTAGGAATTTGATTAATTTTCAAGAGCCAAGCTATGACACTGATAATTCACTGTGTAAATAAACAAATACAAATGGCTTTGAGGTATTTATTTATTAGTATATGCAATGACTTTGCATCAGGAAGAAACTGCAGGACATGTGTGCAGAAGAGGAAGGCAGGGTACTGCTCAGGTGACCACATTCTTAGACTAAATTTGAATTTGCCAGAGGAAGACCTTAGATAATCTTGTGCACTTAGATTGATGCCATTAAACATGAGAGTTATTTGCCCCTATTTGTTTTTATTCCATGGTTAAAACTCAGACTTATGACTGCTGTCTGCCTTCTATATAGCTGTGTGTTTTGGTGGGCACACACAGGACCAAACACAAGTACACAACATATATACTGGGGCTTCAAGTTCACTGTTAGGTAATTTTAAATTTGATCATGGAATCTCTAATGCGAATTTCAGTTGCCTATTTTACTGTGGGCGTTTCCAGGTAAGTAAAGTGGGCTTCCCTAGGAGCACAGATGGTAAAGCCTCAGCCTGCAGTGCAGGAGACACGGGTTCGATCTCTGGGTCGGGAAGATGCCTGGAGAAGAAAATGACAACCCACTCCAGTGTTCTTGCCTGGAAAATCCCGTGAACAGAGTAACCTGGTAGGCTACAGTGCATGGGGTTGCAAACAGTCGGATATGGGCGTAACTTAGCAACTAAACAGCAATAAGTTTTACTGTGATTCAGTCACACAGGATCTATTTGGCCTTTAGAATTATCATGGATTCAACACCAAAGGCCAAATTGTGGAATACGGCAATTTAGTCTAATGATTACCACGCAAACCCTGTAAAGTTTCGATTTTCCTCAAATAAAACCATGTACTCAGATCACTATATCTCATCCATAAAATTTCTTTAAATTATTTGGGGATTAATTTGCCAAGTTTTGCTTTGCCTTTGCTATCAACTAGCATAATTATTTTGCATAATAAATCAACATCAAATTTTATGAAGAAAATAACTTCATAACAAAAAAATCTTTTAAAATAGCATACAGAGGTTACCTTTTTGGTATAAACTGGCAATGATCTGGAATAGACACTTGAGAGTTATTGCTCTAAGGAGCTACTGAAGCCAATACGTCATTGATTCATCATATAAATCACTATTGACTTATGTAGAGTCATCTTTTCTCTTCTTTTGATAGGTAGAAACAGGCACAGAGATGGATAGGTAAGGCATACATACATACATGCATATATACATATATATTAAGTTATTATATAATCCAAAACAGATAGTTCCTATGTATAGTTTCTAGACTCTTAGGATGACTGGGATCAAAAGCAGGAAATGCTCATATACTGTATTTCTCATATTTCAGGGCTATATTTTGTATGTAACTGTGGCCCAAAAGGGCTTCCCTGGTGGCTCAGTCGGTAAAGAATCCGCCTGCAATGTGGGAGACCTGGGTTCCATCCCTGGGTTGGGAAGATCCCCTAGAGGAGGGCATGGCAACCCACTCTAGCATTTTTGCCCAGAGAATTCCCAAGGATACAGGAGCCTGACAGACTGCAGTCCATGGGATTGCAAAGAGTTGGACACAACTGAGTGACTAAGCACAGTGGCCCAAAAGAATGCAAAATGTTTGACATATAATTATTATGTAAAAGAGCTCTCAGCAACCCCGCAGATTTCTTACCACTTTATCTGAGTATACAAAAATAGTTATCTCTAATAACTTCTACTATTCCCAATTTTTTAATTTATTAGAGAAGCATAGAAACATTAGAGTTCTATTTCCAAAAGTCTTTAAATTGGCACATTACATGATTCTGGTTGCTATGATATAATCAATGTCCTACATTACCTAAAAATAAAGGACTAGCTTTGAGAGGCCGGTGGAAGGCTCTGGAAAGTAGTAAATACCTCTAAATTGTCAAACTTTGGTAAACTTCTTTTCATTTTTTGTCTGTGTGTTCAGTCACTCAGTTGTTTCAAACTCTTTTGTGACCCCATGGACCGTAGACCACCAAACTCCTCCGTCCATGGGATTTTTCTAGGCAAGAACACTGGAGTGGGTTGCCATTTGCTACTCCAGGAAATCTTCCCAACCCAAGGATCTAACCTACGTCTCTTTCGTCTCTTACATTGGCAGGTGGATTCTTAACCACTGTGTCACCTGGGAAGCCTCTTATAACTTTGCAAATAATGAAATCCAGCATAAATTTTGCCTGCATTTAAAGGGATAAAACATTTAACTTTAAATGTTTACACACACACACACACACACACATATATATATTTCTGTGTCTATTTAAAGTTAAAGGTGCAAATTTATCACTTTAGAACATATGATTAAATAAGTCATCCTGTAACACAGTTAATGAAATGAATGTGTTAGTTGCTCAGTCATGCCCAACTCCTTATGACCACATGGACTATAGCCCACCAGGTTCCTCAGTCCATGGAATTATCCAGGCAAGAATACTGGAGTGAGTTGCCATTCCCTTCTCCAGGGGATCTTCTCGACCCAGGGATTGAACCCAAGTCTGCACTGAAGGCACATTCTTTACCATCTGAACTACCAGGGAATTTTCTCCAAATTATTAAAAAAAGGTAATTGGGCAACACAGTCCCCTAGAAGTTTCTGTACTGATGGGAACACTCTGCATGTACATGGATAAAAATGGTAGCCACTTGGAAACTAGGATTAGCTAATAAAAGCTACCATATAAAAATATATAACTAATAAGGGCACAGGGAACTGTATATTCTGTAATAACCAATATGGGAAAAGAGTCTGAAAAAGAATGGATATGCATCTATGTATAACTGCTCCAATTTTCAGTACACTTGAAACTAACTCAATACTGTAAGTCAACTATACTCCAACAAAAGTATTTTTAAAAAATTGTAGCCACTCATCTCATATAGCTACCAGGCACTAGAAACAAACAAGTGTGAATGATAACTTTTAAAATTTATTTAATATTAATCAAATACATATAAGGCTAGTGAACATCACACGACTAGAGCCATGTGAGAAATATTCTATGAAGCAGTAGAAAGCATTCAAATGGAAGCAAATACTACATATTAAAGAAGGACATTTTTAATAAAGATACAGTTTCAAATATTAAGATATTTCCTCAAGCAAGAATTAAAACTTCAAATTTACTTAAATAAGTAGTTAAATAGTTATTCTGTGTAAAAGAAATAGAAATAGACATCAAACCAAAGCATATAGATGGATTTTTCTTTTGGAACCTAGGTGCACAATATTGGATTAATTATATTCTTATTGCATAACACACTCTTACCATCTGCTCATGCCTGGTTCCTATTAATCATATTCAGTTCAGTTCAGTTCAGTTGCTCAGTTGTGTCCGACTCTTTGTGACCCCATGAATTGCAGCACGCCAGGACTCCCTGTCCATCACCAACTCCTGGAGTTTACTCAAACTCATGTCCATCGAGTCTCATATCATATCATATCTCCATTCATTTATTTAGGAAAGTGAAAGTGTTAATTGCTCAGTCATGTCCTACTCTTTGCAACCCCATGAACTGTATAGCTCCTTTGCCTATGGAATTCTAGAGGCAAGATTACTAGGGAAGGTAGCCATTCCCTTCTCCAGGGAATCTTCCTGACCCATGCATCGAACCCAGGTCTTCTTCACTGCAGGCAGATTTTTTACCATCTGAGCCACCAGGGAAGTCCTTTATAATAGTGTTTATAGAAAAGCTGGTTACTCACTATTATCCACATGAATGCTAGGATTTTGAAAGTAACTTTCATTAACAATATGGTCCTTCCTCATATGCTCTCCCCACTAGAACCTCCCTCCAGAGTTATACTTAGTAAGAAAATGTAATTCCGATATTTTGAATAACCCAGATGTTCTATTCAAGGCCACCAGAGAAAGTTTTCCATTTTTCATGAGCTTAAGAGTATCTATGCACCCCTTCATAAAAGCATGTGAACAAAGCAAGAAATATCATAGAAGAATATAGTCTAAAGTTTTTTGCTTACTGGACTTGCAGTCACAAGTTATTTGGAAATTTCATAGTCTACAGAAAATAGCAGAATATGCAATTCTAGAACTGTTAGTTATACAGAATATATTCACTAGGCCATCATCATTTTTATCCCATGTGGTATTAATTCCACATGCAACACATGCCATTAATTCAAAAGAATTCCATTTATGGTTTATTTGATGAAGATGTATGATCCGTGTCTATATACATGCATGGTCTCATAACCTAAAACACATGCATACAGCAGGTCTTTATAAAATCTTAAATAACAACATGGATAAAATACCTGTCCTGGTTTGGCATTTTCACACACAGCTGTCTCATATGGCACAGATATTTCTGGAGGAAATTCATTGACATCTAGGACATTAATTAATATGTTGACTTTGCTGGTTAATAATGGGTTACCTGTTAAAAACATACAAGGAGAAAAGATGATTACAAAATCTGATCAATCATTGCTTTTATGGTGAATATCACTAACATTTAAAAATCAGCATTCATATGGAATCCAGAAGACTTTTTCTTTATGGGAAACTGAGGCATTGTGTCAAATCTAAACGATAAAAAGATGAATATGGGCGCTCTGCCTGTCTCACTGTCAGAGAACCAGCGGTGCACTACACAAGAATTTATCCCTGAAAATCACCCCCAAAGTTAAGAACAACCATTTAGCTCATGTTTCATAAAAAATGCAGCCATCAAACTAGAGTGAGTTAACAGGACCAATCTTCACTAAACAGTGATTTTCATTTTTCATTGAATAAAACATATGCTTTTATATGAGTATCTATAACTTTATTCAGTAGTATCATTTACATATTTAAATAACTTTCTCAAAATGATCCCCCCTAAAAAGATGATAAATCACAAGGAATATGAAGAAGAGATGACTTTTTATAGATTAAAATTAAAATAAACTTAAGGAAGTAGAACTAAGAGATTATGTAGTTAGGATGCACCCTAAAACTATTTGCTGATGATGAGAAAAGACAAAGTAAATAGCATTTCCTTTCTACAGTGCCAAAAAATACTGCTTTAAAAATTGTCTCTGTCAAAATCCCATCACAAGTTTTAGTCCCAACCTGCGATATGGTACCAACTTCTCTGTCCTTTGCTGAAGAAGACCAGGCATAATTCAACAAATAAGGCATAACATAATGGATAGATTTCAATTTATTTTACCTAATGAAACTTTACAGATGTATAAAGTGCCCCAGGTTGTTGTATCTTGTCCAAAGTCACACATCTAGAGGAATGGGGAGTTAATATCCAAACTCAGGACTATGGAAATCCAAGTATTATGTTCACTCCACTTTTTTAATGATTGGTTATTGTGTTAGATTCTTCATCTGCAGTGCCACTGAAGATTCACAGTATTGGCATTGTTTTAGATCTCTGTCTGGATGCTTTTAAAGAATACATACAAATCTTACCACATGACTGATTCTGACAAGCCTACAATACTCTGTTATACTAAAATTGATTTAAAGAAATAAAAAGCATTGTCAGCAGTAGCTTAAAAAATGTTCACATATTCATATATGACAAAATAAAATCCATTGTCGTATACCAGTTCAGGCACAGATAACATAAAGAGAGGAGAAATGGAATGTTTAATAAGTTACTGTGAGGATGGGACAAGATTTCTCTCCCAATTATATTTATAATACAGACTTGTGTTTATAATATATAAACATGTTATTAATTTAAACTGATTTTTACCCATGAGAAATTCTGTTTTGGTAGTTTTAAATATTTATCCTCTTGAAATATAGATTTTATATTGTCCCAGTGAGTACTGTGTCTCAAAATATAATCACTATTGCAATATCTTATTATTAAAAGTGTTTCTCAAAGATGAGCTTTTGGTAATTTAGCTAAAGCCAAATATTTTGTTGTGTGAACTTTTCCTGTGCACTATAGGACTTTTAGAATCACTACATAATAAATGTGACTAGGCATCACTGTGGCAATTACAAAATGTGTGTTAGTCATGTTCAACCCCATGGACTGTACAGCCTGCCATGCTCCTCTGACCATGCAATTCTCCAGGCAAGAATACTGGACTAGGTTGCCATGCCCTCCTCCAGGGGATCTTCCTGATCCAGGGGTCAAACCCTGGTCTCCCGCATTGCAGGCAGATTCCTTACCATCTGAGCCAACAGGGAAGCCCCTAACATAACAGTAGATACTGAGCTTTATAACATGCACAGTAAAGGAAAAATGTGAAGAGATACAGTTGCTAGTTATACCCATTCTTGGGACAGAGGGTAGAAGTAGAAGAGCCTTTTCTGGCCTTTCATGGAAAGGAGGCAGAGTAGAAACAACCACAGCAACTCTGAGTACTTCCTTAAAAGGTGCAGAGAGGAAGCCTCCCCTGAGTGGGTTTGAACCCGCCAACCTTTCGGTTAGCAACTAAATGCTCCAACAGACTGTGCCACAGAGATACATGCAATTACAAAATAAATACCCAAATAAGAATAGAGGAAAAACTGTAACAACATCAAAGACAGGTCATTCGTACTGTCCAAAATGAGTTATGGGTTTATAGTTTTCAATATATAACTCTTCTATTGTATATTTGTAAAACTACTTATGATTAAAGGTTTAAAAATGTCACCTTCTATTTGTAAATCTGGTTAGGTAAGCAGCAACATTTTTGTTTGGCAACTACTGTACTCAGGTAAGAATTGAATTTTCACAAGGGAATATTTTTATTAGAGTAATATAGAATTTTTTGATTTATGTATGTAATTCACTAAATGATATGGTAAAGTAATGACATTTCTTTCTGATTCATCTCATCTTTGAAACAACAGTGATGACATTTCTTTAAACTTGATTTGTCATAAACATTATTATCCAAATCCCTTCCATATTAGAAACCAGTTATCAATGAGCAATTATAAAATCAATTCAAATATGAACTTAGTAAATATTAAATACTCAAAACCTTACACAATTAATTGCTGTGTTCCCAGTAGTCAAGCCATTTAAACTCCAGTTATCATTGCTTCATATTGCTTATATTGAATAAACAACATATTAATAGTTTTGTGGTCAATTAAGATAATCAATAATTCTATTTTGTCCCTCAGGCCTTCAAGAATGTTTTGTTAAACCTTCTTTCTTTATTCTTCATGATATCTTGATCAAATCCCATAACTTTTTGAGCCAATTTGAATTAGAACTGCCTTCGCATTTTAAGGTGCAACTTAAACCAAGAAAAAAAGATTAAAACCAAATTATAAAGACTGAGAATAAAGGAGAAGTGAAATACCATAAGTGAAATGCATATTATAAAATAATATTTCAAATTTATTTTAAAAGTTCAGTCAACATAGATAAACTGAACAAATTCCTAGAAAGACATATATTGTCACATGTGTGTGTGTTAAGTCACTTCAATCATGTTTGACTCTGACACCCTGTGGGCTGTAGCCCTCCAGGCTCCTCTGTCCTTGGTATTTTCCAGGCAAGAATACTGGAGTGTGTTGTCATGCCCTCCTCCAGGGAATCTTCCCAGAATGGGAATCAAACCTACGTCTCTTATGTCTCCTGCATTGGCGGGCAAGTTCTTTATCGCTAGCATCAAAATGAACTAGAAAATCTTAATAGACCTAAGGTAAGTGGGGAAAATTAAGCTTCAATAAAAAATCTCCCAACCAAGAAAAAGTCATGCCCACATGGCTTCACTGGGAAAGTCTAGCAACTATTTATAGACCACATAATATCGATTCTTCATAAACTCCTTCAAAAAATAGAGGAGAAAATGCTTACCAGCTTATTCTCCATATTGTAATACCAAATGTCAATCAAAAATATCAGAAAGAAAAGCATGGATTAACCTCATAAACACAGAAACAAAAATTGCTTAAATATATATTAGCAGTCAATCCCAGAAGTATATTATAAAGCTAATATATAATGACCAAATGTCATTTATCCTAGGCATGTAAGGTTAGTTTAGCATTTAATAGTATTATGATCAATGTGATATATCATATTAATAGAAGAACAAAAAATTGCATAAGCATTTTGATAGACTCAGCATTAGTTTCTGACAAAATCTCATCCATTCACTATTAAAAAAAAAACAATAAATAATGAATAGAAAGCAACATACTCAGTCTAACATAGTTTATCTATGATAACTGAGAAGGCAATGGCACGCCACTCCAGTACTCTTGCCTGGAAAATCCCATGGACGGAGGAGCCTGGTAGGCTGCAGTCCATGGGGTCGCAAAGAGTCAGACACGACTGAGTGACTTCAGTTTCACTTTTCACTTTTATGCATTGGAGAAGGAAATGGCAACCCACTCCAGTGTTCTTGCCTGGAGAATCCCAGGGATGGGGTCATACAGAGTCGGACACAACTGAAGTGACTTAGCAGTAGCAGCAGCATCTATGATAAAGAAGCCCACAGCCAGCATTATATTCAGTGGTGAGAGGACAAATATTTTCTTTCTAATACTAAGCATATGGCAAGATGTATGCTTTTACCACATATTCACCATTGCACTTGAGGATTTATTTAGTGCAATCAAATAAAAATAAAATTTAAAAGTATTCAGATTGAAAACAAAAAAAAACATTTATCAAAAAATGTCAAGAACCTGTAGGTTGGAAACCCTAAAATATCCACAAAAACTTATAGGTATAATCAGGGCAGCACATCAAGAACAATATTAAAAATGACTATTGTACATTTAATATACTAGGAAAAAAAAACAGAGAAAAAAAGAATTGATAAAAAATTCAAGTCACCATAGAGTCAAAGATAATAAAATATTTAAGAATAAATTTAGAAAAATCAAGGTAGGAATTATAAACAGAAATTGACAAATCATATCTCAGAGAAATGAAAAGGATTCCTGATAGAAAGGACTGATGATGGAAATATAAAGTTGTACAGTCTCTTTAGAAAATAGCTTGGAACTTTCTTTAAACCCGGAAGTGTAAAGTAAGATTCTCTCAGTTGTGACTCTTCGAGACCCCATGGTCTATATAGTCCATGGAATTCTCCAGGCCAGAATACTGGAGTGGATTGCTTTTCCCTTTACCAGGGGATCTTCCCAACCCAGGCGTCAAACCCAGGTCTCCCACGTTGCAGGCAGATTCTTGACCATCTGAGCCACAAAGGAAGCTCAAGAATTAAATACTGAATGTGAATTTATAAGCCAACAATTCCACTACCATATGTCTACCTAAGAGAATGAAAGGGACATCCACAGAAAACTTGTATGCATATGTTCATGGAGGTATTATGCATATGGTCCCAAACTGGGAACAATTCAAATGTCTATCTTTTGGTGAATAGATTAATAGTAGCATATCCATGCAGTAAAATTATATTATAAAAACAGGAAACAAAACAGTGATGTGTGCTTAAACAACATGAATGA